TTTTGCTAATTTTTTTTCTTCAAAATTCTATTTCTGGTAATTTTTTTTTTTCAAAAAAATGTTGCTGGTAATAATTTTTATCTTCAAAAATATATTGCTGTTAATAACTTTTTACAAATATTTCTGGTATTAAAACCTATTTTTACACTTTCATAGTGTTTTGACCCCGGTTAACTATTTGCCCATAGCTGGGACCTTAACAGGTGCTACCACCCCGGGTCAGGGTGGACCTGTAAACACCAGCAATTAAGAGTTGGTCCCACGCTCCTCAAAATCTCCTGATGAGAGACCTTGCTGTTGGACGTAGTTTATCGTCTTACCCAGGACGCGGATGTAGTTTATCGTCATATCCAGGACGGCTTATTTCAGGAGACTTCTTTATTTATTTTTCGTATTTTCAAATTTTGTGACTAATTTTTCCTTAAAGTACGCCCCCAGAGTTTTAGTTATTCTACATCTTCGACCTGAAGTAAAAATAATAAAAAAAACAAAAAAAAAAGGCCGAGAAAAGCTAATTTCAACCCAAGCGACGAGCGTTGTTTATATAAAGAATTCTTTTTACAAGTCATCCTCTGTTTCAGTTACTTCTACACTTTTATTGTAAGCATGATTCAGGTCGCTACTTCTACGAGAGACTATAACCATTTTCAATATGCCACTGACTGTATCGCTTATCAAGTCAATGCATAACTCTGCCGATGCTGGCCTGATAAATTGTCGCCACTCTATATTTCTAATTTCGCGCCTGCGCATTGTTTGGTTTTGATTGTGCCGACTGCGCAGTATAGTTGGGCCAGTTGGACGCCGTCTGTGAGAAAAAGAGAGCACCATGACGCAACTCACTGCGACAGGAATTTAGAAACGGCATGCTGTACTGCTTGGCATTTTAGTAAATGCATCTGTCAAATTTTAGATTTCAGTGTCATTTCCGTTTTTGCGTAATTTAGACGACAATTTATCCACCGCACTCTGTATATATATATATATATATATATATATATATATATATATATATGTGTGTGTGTGTGTGTGTGTGGTGGACTCTCCCGTCGTATTTAACATATGAAGTCAAGTAGCTCAGTTACTAGCAACCGACAGACAGACCCCAGCACATATGATTTGATTATAGTGGTGAAGGCTTTGTGCAGAAGCAACCACATCTTTTGAATTGGCCGAATACAGAGACCTGGTGCACTACGTGCCACAAGGTCCCTAAAACGACCCTCCGCAGGTTTTTGAATTGAGAATCGTCTTTCTCCTGGACCAATTGCCATCAAAGGCTATAGAACCCGGTCTGTCCTGATATTTACCCACAGCTGGAGGGAGAAGAAGAGGAGTAATACCTTCCCCAAGGGTATTAGCACGAAGGTTTTCTTTTCTGGACATAAAGTCTGTAAAAATTGTGCAAATGTTTGAACGCTTTCGGCTATTCTATTAGCCATTAGCAAGATTAAATATTAATAACTCTGATACAAAATATACAGGGTGCGATAGATAAATGGTCGCCATTTTTTATTTTTAATTCCGCGCATGCGCGTTCTTTGTTTTTGATTTTGTCGCCTGCGCAGTATAGTAGGGTCAGTTGGGCACCGCCTGTAAGAAAAAGAGAGCACCACCACATAATTCACTCGGACAGAAATTTGGAAACGACATGCTCTACTGCTTGGCATCCGCGCCGGAAACCCCAATACGAACAGTGTGTTTGGGTGTCAATCCGAGGACAGTGCTGAGGATTCGAAAAGAGTTGGATGAGTCTAATGGTGATTACGAAGGTGTTTGAAGTGGTCACTAGTGATGGCGACGTTATGCCTCCATTCATCTTCCCACAGGGCCTCAGATTCAACACGGAGGCCTACATCCAGTGCCTCGAGGAGGTAGTGCTGCCCTGTGACTAGAGAGTGGCTGATGGAAGACCCTATGTCTGGAAACAGGACTCTGCACCATGCAACACTAGCAGGAGAACCAGTCAAGGCTGTCAGACAATTTCTGCGACCACATCACCCCTTATATATGGTCATCTAACTCACCAGACTGCAACCCCCTTGATTATTATGTGTTGAGCGTGAGACCAACAAAACTCATTGTAACACCAAAGATGAACTGGAGGCAAGGATTATGACAGCATTCATCAACTTCAACAAGGAGACCGTCCAGAAGAGTTGCAGGAGATTCCAAAGTCGTCTGGAGGCCGTGGTTGAAGCCAATGACGATTTTATTGAATAAATTTACTCTTTAGCATTTCAAGATGTTTTTGTGTAATTTTGGTAAATATATTTGTTAAAAGGAGATGTCAGTGTTATTTTCAATTTTTGCGTCATTTAGACGACAATTTATCCATTGCAACCTGTATATCTGTTAAAAATGAGTGGTCAGTGACATTTTCAATTTTTGCGTCATTTAGACGGCAATTTATCCATCGCAACCTGTATATCTGTTAAAAATGAGATGTCAGCGTTATTATAAATTTTTGCGTCATTTAGACGGCAATTTATCCATCGCAACCGGTATGTCTGTTAAAAATGAGTGGTCAGCGTCATTTTCAATTTTTGCGTCATTTAGACAGCAATTTATCCATCGCATCCTGTATAAAACTAGATAGACGCGGCCCGATCCGCTCTTTTGTCTCTGAGGCTTCCACCCCGAGGTAAGGGCAACTCAAAGCCTGCTACGGGTACCGGTGCCGGCACGCGTGCCATCGTCTGCCGGTACGCGGAGAGTTTCCAGGAAGCAAAGAAACAGTAGTCACATTCCTGTTTCTATTATTAACATTTTCATTTTCCTTTTATATTTATTATGGTTATATTTTTTTAATTACTCACTCATGTAAAAAATCATTGCAATACAACTAACAAATGAAATATAATGAACAGTAAAACAGTAAACTGAAATCCGTAGGACAACGCCATCATCATCATACATTGTTTAGCGAAGGGTAGGTGTTGTCTAGACTTTATTGGATGATGCAATATTCCAATTTTTTTTTATTTCAAATTCAGTTAAATTGTGTGCTTCTGTGCACAGATATACGAATATGCATCACCCACTATCTATCTATCTATCTATCTATCTATCTATCTATCTCAGTCAGTTCATATCTATCTATCTATCTACCTATCTATTTCAGTCTGTTTATATCTGTGTAACTATGTATTGCAATCTGTTCATCTCACTTCTCTCTTTCTCTCTCTCTCTCTATATATATATATATATATATATATATATATATATATATATATATATATATATATATATATATATATATATATATATATATATATATGTCAGTCTGTCTATGTATATCTACCTCTCCATTTATCTCAGTCTGTTCATATCTATCTATCTATCTATCTATCTATCTATCTATCTATCTATCTGTCTGTCTGTCTGTCTATCTCAGTCATTTTATATGTATGTATGTATCTATCTAGCAACACAATCTTCTGCTGCAACACAATCTTCCTACTATCTATTTTCTTCACAATTCCTCTCATCCAAATATCAGGCAAATCATTCAGGTGAACAGAAACATCTGCTGTCATACACACACACACACACACACACACACACACACACACCCTTCCTAATAAATCTATTTCCTGATGTCTGCTTACAACTGCATGTCTGTATTCTAACCAGTGTACAAACGGGTAGGTATACGTAGAAGTGGTTTAACTAGTATACATTTGTACGTGAATGATTGTGTGAATCACTTATCTTTTAATAAGTTTAGCATTGTTTGGCACAAGGCTACAAACATGGAGCGCTCAGGGAGAATAGGAATGTTCAATTAAATTGACTTCATTAATTAATACCCAACACCGAGGCTCCCATGTAACTGAGCGTGTTCGTAAGGCGGTAATTTTGTAATTGTGCATGTGTGCGTGTGTGTGTGTGTGTGTCCATATATTGTATGTGTACAGACTGAGATACATAGATAAATATGAACAGCATTAGATATATGGCTACCTAGCTAGCTAGAAAGAGAGAGAACATTTAGATAGATAGATAGATAGATAGATAGATAGATAGATAGATAGATAGATATGAACAGACTGAGATAGATAGATAGATAGATAGATAGATAGATAGATAGATAGATAAAGGAATGAGACAGATATGAAAAGACTGAGATAGATAGATAGATAGATAGATAGATAGATATGGACAGATTGAGAGAATTATTTAGCTTGCCCCAAGGAAAGATTGATATCTATCTATCTATCTATCTATCTATATATATATATATATATATATATATATATATATATATATATATATATATATACATTTTTCCATGGGGAAGCTAAATATTTCTCTCAATCTGTCTATCTATCTATCTATCTATCTATCTATCTATCTATCTATCTATCTATCTATCTAAATGTTCTCACTCTCTCTCTCTCTCTCTCTCTCTCTCTCTATATATATATATATATATATATATATATATATATAGATGGATATGAGCCGAGAGATAGAGCGAGGCATAACAGACTGCGATAGATAATACACAAATATAGATAGATAGATAGATAGATAGATAGATAGATAGATAGATAGATAGATAGATGTGGACAGACAGATAGATAGATATATAGATATGAACAGACTGAGATAGATAGATAGATAGATAGATAGATAGATAGATAGATAGATAGATAGATATTGATGCAGGTCATATAATCAAAATCGAGTGCGGGAGCGAGCACAGGCAGATTGGTGCCTAAAAGGAACAGTGCCCTTCATATGCCTTCTTAATGCTTCCTAGACGTCAGAGAAACAGAGAGAGGGACAGAGTGAGAGAGAGAGAGAGAGAGAGAAACAGGGAGGGGGAAAAAGAAATACGCATGTGAGTGAAAGTGAGAGGAAAGGGCGGAGCTGACTGATGGACGAAGAAGCAAGAAAAAGGATCGTCGTGATCTGCGATTCGATCAATGGAAAATCGATTTTAGCAACACGACAGCCAATGTCGATAGACGGCAGGAGAACGAGATAGCTGAATGCTCGGCTGGGTGGTAGCGTCGGTGGAAAACACACAGAGGGAGGATTTTAATACCGAACCACACTCTCTTCCCATATTGTCCACTCCACTAGACAATAACAGTTCACGGGCGGTTATTACGTAACTGATTTTCATTGACGAACAATCGATCGACTGATTTAGTATGATTTGAATTCTATTGTAAGTGGAGAATTATATCGTAAGGTATCGATTTATCAAACTAAATTTGTTCTATCTATCTATTTATTTGTCTATCTATTTATTTGTCTATCTATTTTCTAAGGTAATGATTTTTTATTTATCACACCGACATATTTTTATCAATTTCAAGGTTACTTTTAGTGGATACCCATATTTTAGTAGACGCTCTGTTTATTTATTAAACAGGATAGTTATACATTCTCGTCTACCGGCCTGAATGTTTGAGATATTTCATTAAAGAAAGAATATTTATTCTCAAATGAGATTTTCCGAATATTCGAGAAATCTCTGTTTAATAAATGTATAAACTCTCTGTCTACCTAACGCAGTCTGTTCATATTTAATTACCAATCCAATCTGTTCATATCTATCTATCTATCTATCTATCTATCTATCGCAGTCTATTCATATCTATCACGGTCTGTTCATATATATCTATCCCAGATTGTTCATATCCATTTATCTATCAATCTATCGGAATCAGTTTATATCTATCTATCTATCTATCTATCTATCTATCTATTTATCTATCTATCTATCTATCTATCTATCTATCTATCTATCGCAGTCTATTCATATCTATCACGGTCTGTTCATATATATCTATCCCAGACTGTTCATATCCATTTATCTATCAATCTATCGGAATCAGTTTATATCTATCTATCTATCTATCTATCTATCTATCTATCTATCTATCTATCTATCTATCTATCGCAGTCTATTCATATCTATCACGGTCTGTTCATATATATCTATCCCAGATTGTTCATATCCATTTATCTATCAATCTATCGGAATCAGTTTATATCTATCTATCTATCTATCTATCTATCTATCTATCTATCTATTTATCGCAGTCTATTCATATCTATCACGGTCTGTTCATATATATCTATCCCAGATTGTTCATATCCATTTATCTATCAATCTATCGGAATCAGTTTATATCTATCTATCTATCTATCTATCTATCTATCTATCTATCTATCTATCTATCTATCGCAGTCTATTCATATCTATCACGGTCTGTTCATATATATCTATCCCAGACTGTTCATATCCATTTATCTATCAATCTATCGGAATCAGTTTATATCTATCTATCTATCTATCTATCTATCTATCTATCTATCTATCTATCTATCGCAGTCTATTCATATCTATCACGGTCTGTTCATATATATCTATCCCAGATTGTTCATATCCATTTATCTATCAATCTATCGGAATCAGTTTATATCTATCTATCTATCTATCTATCTATCTATCTATCTATCTATCTATCTATCTATCTATCTATCGCAGTCTATTCATATCTATCACGGTCTGTTCATATATATCTATCCCAGATTGTTCATATCCATTTATCTATCAATCTATCGGAATCAGTTTATATCTATCTATCTATCTATCTATCTATCTATCTATCTCGGTCTGTTCTTTATCTATCTATTATTGTCTACACACACATGCACACTCCCATGCATGTATACAGATATGTATGCATTTGTGCGTGTATGCAAGTGTGTCTATTCTTATATATCTCTGTATATATATATATATATATATATATATATATATATATATATATATATATATATATATATATATATATGAATTTTGGTATATGTTTTATAAATTGAAGCGCAAACCGTGCATCTATACCAATTTCTTCTCTGGCACTGCTCTCTCGTCCGTCTTCTTATATCCCAGTCAACTTTTATCAAAATTTTAAATGGAATATAATCGTATTTTATACATTGATATTATTTTCGGTATCAGTGTATTAATTTTTATAAATTAAGTCCTTTTTATTATTTTCTCTACCGAGTAATTATTTAAGTTATCACGATATTATCGTCACTATTATTTCCTTAAAAGGGTATTATTTTTTTACCGGGTAATTATTTAAGGTATCACGATATCATCGTCACTATTATCTGTTTAATACGGTATTATTTTCTCTACTGGGTAATTATTTAAGGTCGCACAACATTATCGTCACTATTATTTCCTTAACAGGGAATATTTTCGGCATCAGATTATTATTTCTTATATGCGATATTTATTAGTGTCATCATGTTGTTATTTTTGTATAAGCGTATTATTTTCAATGTGTAGTCTTTTGTTTTCTAAACTGGATAATTTTTCCTGTCCGGGGTTAGTATTTTCAGCATTTGCCTATTATTTTCACGTACTATTTCAGCATCACAATATTTTTCGACATTAGGGAATTATTTTCTGTATCCGGCTATTATTTTCTGTGTCATAAATTACTTTCCGGCATTATTGTATTATGTTCTCCTTCAGGTTATATTCCATTGAATTAAGAATTTTCCAACTCTGAGACAAAAATAAAAAGGTCGATTTATACACGAGACTGACCTACAAACGGAAGCATACAGTAATTAGAAACTTGTTTCCTCCTTTGTTAGGGCAGTGTCTCTCAAACTTTTTTCTTCAGGTCGCACTTGTAGAGTAACCCAAACGCTGAATCTATATAATAAATGCCAATGTCAGTGTGTCACACTTTTTCACTTAAAGGGAGAAAACTCTCAATAGCTCATTTTCTTCTATATAATAAATACCCATGTCAGTGTGTCACTTTGTCATACTTTTTCATTAAAGAGACACAACTCTCTAACTTTCAATAGCTCATGTTACAGAAATTTTGGATTCTTAAGTTTTCGGTGATTTTTTTACGTGATTTTTTTGGCGACGAATTTTTTTGTACGATAACAATTTTTCTAACTTGGAAATAATTTTGGGAATTAGCGACATTAATTGCGAAATCCAGTAAAAGTCGCCCATGAAATAAAAATAATTGTTTGTACTGAAAGTAAAGACCTACGCACATCAAATTGTTTTTAAATTAAGTGGCGGCAGATGAAAGTAAAAAAAAAAGTAAGCTTAAATATTAATGCAATACTTAAATGCAGCGATCAATTTTGAGTTCTTCTGTAGTTTATTGTTGCCTATCACATACGGCAGCAGTATACCTCGCAAAAAGAAATCTCCGCCAACAGAGGACCAGATTGCAATCAAAAGAACCAAGGCCGAAGCGAGGAAAAGAAAGTCCAGTGCAAATGAAAACCCAGATCAAACGGCAGCCAGGAGAGCTTCCAATTTTGTGAACATGCAAAGACATAGGGTCGCTCAAACTCCTGAATAAAACAAAGGCCCAATCAAGAGCCCTCCACAGCAGGTTAGCTTAAATTCTGCCCCATAACTCTGAATCCTTCGCATTTTGAAGAAATAAAATTGATTTTCTCAATTCACAAAGTTTGAGAGATATTTTAAACTGAATTTAAAACAAAAGAAACTTAAATCGGAATCGGGCTATAAGTCCAATTCCAGCCAAAAGTACGATTTGGGCCGAAAGTCTGATTTGGGCCGAAAGTCCGATTTGAACCGAAAGTCCGATTTGGGTCGAAACTTCGAGTTGAACCGAAAGTCCGATTTGGGCCGAAACTTCGATTTGGGCCGAAACTTCGATTTGGGCCGAAACTTCGATTTGGGCCGAAAGTCCGATTTGAACCGAAACTCCGATTTGGGCCGAAACTTCGATTTTCGCCGAAAGTCCGATTTGGGCCGAAACTTCGATTTGGGCCGAAAGTCCGATTTGGGCCGAAATTCCACTTTGGACCGAAAGTCCGATTTGGGCCGAAACTTCGATTTGGGCCGAAAGTCCGATTTGGGCCGAAATTCCAATTTGGACCGAAAGTCCGATTTGGGCCGAAACTTCGATTTGGGCCGAAAGTCCGATTTGGGCCAAAATTCCAATTTGGGCCGAAATTCTAATTTGGACCGAAAGTCCGATTTGGGCCGAAACTTCGATTTGGGCCGAAAATTGAGTTCTTCAAGTCACAAACTCTACGGAACTTCAATATCTCATTTCATGAAACCTTTCACTTTAAGTCGGATTCCTTGACATTAAAATCACTATTTTTTTCAGTTATTTTAAAATTTGCATATATTTTTAACTGTTCCTTCATCACCCGGACGCAGATCCCAATGCTGGATGTTCAAACACAAGATAAAGGGCAGATTTTCAATTTCGGGATCATCCGGATTCCAAAAATGTATAAAATGTCTATGTAGAGCAATGATTCCCAACGTTCAAAATATATTACAGAATAAATATTTTATATTTCTGCCTTTCAGCTCTCTATTATATACTAGCAGCATGGCCCGGCGTTGCCCGTGCTTGATTCAAAAATTGTACGACTCATACAGCAATCGCTATCACTTGACTTAAAATATTTTTGCCCTTCCTTGCCCTTCCTTGCCTTTAAAGGAGTGCCCTTTGGACGTGCTGATGTTGCTACATGCCTTACTTCTTGCCTTTCTCACACTGCGAATTTTTTCGAAGCTCTATACTAAACATTAAATCTGTTACGAAAAAAGAACTAAACAAAATGAACACAAAACGATCAGCTTTAAAAAAGTACTCATAACTGGAAAAACCGAATGAAAAAAGAATGTTAACAACAAATACTTTTTCACACCCAACCCAGTTCTGCGGAATCAGAATCAACGTTGAGTTTAAGCAAGCGAATGAGCCAACTAGAGTAAAGTGCCATGCAGATTTAAATTTTTCCCACTTCTGACGAATGCAGCTATTGATTTTTTTTTTTTTTGCATGCTAGCATGCTAGTTAACATTCGTGTCAGTCAGCTGTTGGCTCTCACGCTGGCCAATAGAATCTTTCCGCCTATTCGTGGCAGCCAGCTATAGGCTCTCACTCTGGCTAATAGAAAATGGCCGCAAACTACATGAAAACTGCCATAGAAGCATGAAAAAATCGATTATTTCCACTATCGATGGGAGTTGTGGAATGAAATGTCGGTCTTGGCCTTCCCGCTAACTTGGAGCAGGTGCATGTAAATTTTGGTGCAAATCCGTCGAAAATTGCGGCCGTGCATTCGTCACACACACACATACACATACACACACACACACACACACATCCTGACTTTTATAGATAGAGATTTTGAAATTATATCTATATTTAACTGTCTTTTGGGGTTTTTTAATTTTTCTCTTTCATGGACGCCATGGTCTTTGTAGGCTTGTTTAGAGACTAAGTGTTATGGTCCGGTTCCTTGTACCACGGTGATAGTCCAAGTTAGAACCAATAAAGAAGAACTCGAACATGGATATGGAATAACACAGATATATTACAAACAGGAATATATACAGAGAAGTAGAAAGTGTTAGTACGAACAATCAGGTTTAGTAGTAATTGTCTTAACGCGACTCTGTTTCGGACTGCCTCTGACTCGACTGACTGACTCGCTCACTCTGACTGACTGACAGACTTCTGACGGACTTCACTCCAGACTTCAGACTGAACAGTATTTAGTCACCCCCAACCCTACGAGGGCATCATGTGGCACAAGGCCGGTTTAACGTGTGATCTCCGAGCCCGTGGGATCAGCCAAAAATATGCCCTTTGAACCCGTATAAACGGGTTCAGGGTCGGTTTACCTCCCCGAAAGAGACTCCGCCCTTCGGCGTAGCCTCGTTCGCCCCCCCCCCGGCCAAAGGCAGAGAGTTCAACCGATCAGCCGGTCGTCCGACTTCAGACTGAACGATATCTAGTCACCCCCCACACACACGAGGGCATCATGTGGCACAAGGCCGGTTTAACGTGGGTTCTCCGAGCCCGTGGGATCGGCCAAAAATATGCCCTTTGAACCCGTATAAACAGGTTCAGGGTCGGTTTACCTCCCCGAAAGAGACTCCACCCTTCGGCGTAGCCTCGTTCGGGTTCCTCCCCGCCCGAAGGCAAAGAGTTCAACCGATCAGCCGGTCAGCAGGTCGCCCGACTTCGGACTGAACTCCCTGCTTCCTCTTGAGGCGCAGTATTTATTACGTATGGAATAGTCCATTATGTTATTATGGGTAAGGTCCCATAACACTAAATTAATGGTCTTTTAAGCTTCCTTTACGTGAATTGCAGTAAAATTTTAAATTTGTAAGAATTAAATTTTACAGGGGTGGGGCGCACAGAATTTTAGAAATACCAAAGTGGGGCCTGGCCCAAAATCGGTTGGGAACCACTGATATAGAACAAGTGTGACCCGAGTAAGAGGAATTCCAGATACACGGACAGACAGGCAGAATCTGGCGTTTATCTATTTAAAAGGATATTGCACACCCAGAAGAAACAAAGTGGGGCGTTTGTGAATAAAATTAGCGTCAGTAAAACGGCTCAAGAAATAAGTTACTGGATAGCAGAAATTATTGCACAGAAAAAGAAAAGTCACACAGTTTGTGAGAATCTAATACTGCCAGCTTGTAAAATTATAGTCGGTAAAATGTTTGGAAAAAAATGTAGTAGAGGAAGTTGAAAATATTCCACTTCCGGTCAGTAGAATAAATCGACGTATTGATTACATGTCAGATGACGCTGAAGAGGTCTTCCATGATAAACTGGAAAATAGCAGTTTTCTTTCAATGCAAGTTGAGTAATCAACAGATCTTGCCAATAAATGTAATGTTTGAGCTTTTGTAAGTTTTGTCAATGAGATTGAAATTCTGTTGCAAAGAACTTCCTGAGACAAGCAAAGCAATAGATATATATTCAATATTTTCGTCCTCATATCTGCAAACAAGACGTCCCTCCTGAAAGAATGGTGTTGGCATCTGCATTGATGGTTCCACAAGAATATTTGGCTGCCGAAAAAGTTTTGTTTCCCCTGTAAAAGAAGCAAATCCTCATGGTACCTCAACACACTGCATTCCCTACAGAGAGGTGTTGAGTTCAAATATGGAGGTAAATTAGGCTTAAGCTAGATCAAGTTGAAACACCGGTTTCCTTTAGGATCACCCAAGTTAAGCAACGTCGAGCCTGATCAGTACCTAGATGGGTGACCACATGGGAATGCCAGGTGCTTTAATTTTGGATGTGCGGGTGGAGTAATAGAAAACACCGTAGAATTCTTAATTGTAGAACCGAGTTCCAATTCCAGTTAGGTTCGTTACATCCACTTACGCTTAAATACAATTTAGGAAAGGTAGGAATCAGCCTCTTCTCCTCCCAGCTATGGGTTAATTAGTAAGAATTGCATCACTAACTTATTATCTGAAAAAATCATTATGATCTGTTTTGTGATGTCAACGAACACTCGTTGCCACTTTTGTGATGCTAAAGAATACTCGTTGTCATTTTCGTAATGCTCGTTGTAGTAGAGACTTTGTAATCGCAGATACAACTATAGTAACGCCGTTGAACAATACTGGTGTCAGACGCCGTCGAATATCACTCGCACTAATATTGCTCGATAATACTCACTCGACAAGTAACCACCGAATAGTGAGCTGGATAAAGAAATAGTATAGTGAATAGAGTAGAGAATAGCGCTCCATATAGTAATAGAGGATAGGCTAAAAATAGTGATCCGTATAGTATAGAAGATAGACTAAGAGTGGTGATCCGGATAGTAATAGAGGACAGAATAGAAATAACGATCGATTAGACGTCACGCGACTTCCTGTATATGCGTTTCCTCTATGGTCACGTGTTCTACTTAATTCAATAATGGGATCGCCTGTGTTTGCTCACTGGCGATCTATGTTCAAACTCAAGTGTCGGCAGCGACACTTTATTCCTATATAACAATCTGAAAAAAAATTCTTCCAATCTAAATTTTAAAAAACCTGTAAAGCGTTGATAAGCTGTAGAAAACGAATAAATAAATAAATAAATTGGAGATGAATTGCAAAAAGTTTTCGATGATACTACAAAAAATTTCAACACTGATGATTGAAGTATAGGGAAGAAGTCGACTTATACACGAGACCGACTTATAAACCAATACCTGCAGCAAGTGGAAACTTATTCGAATGTTTTCAATTTTTCTTTGGTTAAAAAAATGTTTCGGCTTACAAGCCTTGATCTTCTGGGATGGATTGATAAAAAATAAATCAAATCTAAATAATGCGGTTTGATGGAAAATCTGCGTCCCAAGCCATAGCTTTCGCCATCACGCGAACCCTAATCCTTGACACTAAATATACGCAATTATCTAAGACTACAAGAAGCAACTCCCCATTGGCGCGATTTCGCTGATACAGCACAAATCAAAAATGGTTGCAGAATTCGAAGAAAAGATAAGACGTAAGAATGCCGATTAAAAATGAATAATTGACGATACTTCATCGTCCAAATTCAGAAAAGACACGGCTTTGGCGATTGTAAAAGCCAGGGAAATAACGTGAAATTTATGCTCGTTAAAAATTGATAATAGTCAACAATATTTCGTCTTAGAGATTCAAACAACTTAAGACTGTTTTTGAATAATTTCACCCCAAGCAAGGCGACAATGCCACTAGGACACAGGAGGCTACAGAGAGTGAAAGTAAACGAGAATGAGAAGTTTAAAATAGAGAGGACTGAGGAAAGAAGAAAAATGGCGACGGGGTTCAAGAAGATAGAAGATGGCGATTGACGTTGCATCTAATTTGGGATAACTACATTTATCAGGGAAGCAAGAAATCTGAAGGGACTTCCACAGGTGGGAAATGCGAGAAAAGAAACTGTTAGAGTAAAAGTGGTGGTTGCATCTAGCTAGTTCAACTGTAAAACGGTGGGACATAGTTGCCAATCTAGTTGCACGTTTAAATTGAGAATGGTAGATTTATTACTGGAAAGGAAATCTGACGAAAAAAAAGTCCGTGCCAAACATTAAAAATAATTGATTTACCTTGAAACATGGAACATGACCCAGTGCACATGTTAATAATTCGTATGTCCATTCCACGAAGTCGTTCCTTGCAGATTGACTACAGATTCTCGATTGGATTTAAATAAGGAGAGTTTCCGGGCCAATCTATAGTACTTTGATTTGCTCACTGGTAATGATTGGCATTGTGTTTGTGCAGCATTACAATTTTCTTACGCTTCCTTGGAGTAACGTCCATCGCAGACAATGGCCGTAGGACAACTAATCGACAGTCGAGACAATAGTGTTTGGGCGTGATGAAAATCTGATGCAATCACGGATGATGCAAAATTTTTCAAGGCCTAACAAAATTTCATCATGCACCCCGAAAATAGATTCATATTACTGCTGGCCACTGAAAATGGCCTAATTTGGGAAAAAAATAGAAATCGATTACACCCTGTCACTCCAGTGGGTCTAAAACTGACCGTATGGTGAAAGAAAGGAAACTAAAGCGGATGATTCAATTAATTTGCACAAGGGTGTATTGCTTCCTCTGAGAAATTCAGACAAAATAAAATTTATTTCTCAGTCAGTTAAGTGCCACACTTGGGTGATCATGTCTCTTTTGCCTCATAACTGACTATGTAGAAGAATTTCTGCAGTAGGTTGCCAATAAAGGCTACAGTGTCCAGTCTATCCTGCTATTCAACCCATTGCTGGAGGGAGAATAGATGAAGACAGTCAAGTACACACTTGGGTTATCATGTCTCTTTTGCTTCATAACTAACTATGCAGAAGATTAAGCTGCCGTTTCTGTAGTAGATTAGTTGCCAACCAAGGCTATACGGCCCATTCTGTCCTGTTATTCAACCCATAGATGGAGGGGCAAATGACAAAGTCAGTCAAGTGCCACACGCTTAAGGGATCATGTGTCTTTCGATCCATGACTGACTAGTCAGAAGATTTTCCAGCAGTAGGTTGCCGTTCGTTTCTACGGTAGACTGGTTGCCAACCAAGGCTATATGACCCATTCTGTCCTGTTATTCAAGCCATAGCTGGAGTGGGGAGAGATAAAGACAGTCAAGTGCCATATGTGATATACGTTTGGACGATTATGTCCTTTTCGATTCTTGACTGACTAGGCAGAAGATTCTCCCCGCAATAGGTTGGCGTTTCTTTTTGCCATATGCTGATTGCCATATACTGATTGCCACCCAACGCTATAGGATCCAGTCTCTCATACTATTCAACCCATAAACGGGAGGAAAGAATCGATTAATATTTGTCCCAATGCTATTTGTGCATAAGTGAATGCAAAGAACCCGACAGGAATTCGAACTCAGTTCTCCGATTTCTCCGATACCCATTACACCCCGACGAACGTATATGACTAAAAACCTTGAAAACTAAAGGAATAAGAGGAAAGAATTACTTGACAAAAGTTTTAAATAATTGATTAGGCGTCATCTAAGAAATTCAGACACTTAACAGAATTGCTCCAATGTGTAACAGCAAGAGAAATAAGATGAGAGAAATACACGTTAAAAATTAATAATAATTAACAATGTTTGGTTTGGTTTGGTTTGTTTTGTTTTACGGCATATCAACCTCAATGGGTTATTTAATGGCGACATGATTTTTATTGCTGGTAATATTTTTTCCAAAAATGTATTGCTGATAATAAATTTATTGATGGTAATGTGTTTTTTTTTTCAAAAATGTATTGCTGGTAATAATTTTTCCTCAAAAAAATTATTGCAGGTATTTTTACACTTTCATAGTATTTTGACCACATTTTGGGAGGCGGTTAACTATTTGCCTATACCTGGGGCCCTAACAGGTGCTACCACCCTGGGTCAGGTTGGACGTGTGAACACACCAGCAATTACGAAGTGGTTCCACGCTCCTCAAAATCTCCTGATCACTGGTAAGGCTTGCCAATGCTTTTATAACAAAAGACAAAATAAAGTCAAGTACAGACGTGGGCGATCATATCTCTTTCGATTCGATTCATACTTGGTGTAAATAAGCAAGATAGATAGATAGATAGATAGATAGATAGATAGATAGATAGATAGATAGTTAGATAGATAGATAGATAGAAACAAAGAAATAAAGAAACAGGGATAGATAGATAGATAGATAGATAGATAGATAGATAGATAGATATGAAAAGTCTGGGATAGACAGAAAGAAAGAAAGAAAGAAAGAAAGAAAGAAAGAAAGAAAGAAAGAAAGAAAGAAATGAACAAACAAACAGGGATAGATAGATAGATAGATAGATAGATAGATAGATAGATAGATATGAAACGTTTATCAATCTAACGTGTTTCACTTGCTGTTGGATATAGTTTACACAGGACGTAGATGTAGTTTATAGTCATACCCAGGATTCTGACAATGTTTGATCTAAGAAAATCAGACAACTTAAAACTATTGAATCTTAATATTAATTGGTGTAAATAAGCAAGAGAAATAAGATGAAAGAAATAATAGTCAAAAATTAATAATTATTGACAATGTTTCATCTAAGAAATTTAGACCACTTAAGATTATTACATCTTATTAGTACTTAGTGTAAATTAGCAAGAGAAATATGATGAAAAAAATTATCATCAAATGTCATTTCGAAAACAAAAATATTACGTTAACTTCCCACTTAGTTACGAACGTCAAATTCTGGGACCGGACGAAGTACTCTACAGCTTTTCTCATCACCTTGTAGGGTGTTGTTTCTATATCTTTCAAGAGAAAATTTCCCACGTTCTTCACGATATTAGCACGTAAACCGATCTTCGACGGATCGAGGAATTAATCTTTACAGACAGTAAATAATGAAAACTGTGCCAAAAGGGATTTAGCAATTTAAGTTCGAGCCAAGTATAGAACTTATTCATGCATAGATGACGACACCGTCTTAAAGCCGCTCAAAATAAAAGATTTTCGTTTATTTTTAATTCACTTCTCTAGTACAAAACCAACTCTACTTTTATTAAAGGTTATTATTATTATTATTATTATTATTATTATTATTATTACTAGCATAATACCCGCGAAAAATTAATGTTTTATTAACGTATGGCTAGGCTCTTCTGCCGAGGATTAGACTATCTTTGTCTTTTGGTTAGGATTAAGGTGTCGCTCCACGACATTTCTGCTTGGTATCAAAATGTAATAGATAGATAGATAGATAGATAGATAGATAGATAGATAGATAGATAGATAGATGAATAATATACTGAAATAGATGGGAATAGGCGACAGACAAACAGATAGATAGATAGATAGATAGATAGATAGATAGATAGATAGATAAATAGATAGATAGATATGAAGTGGCTGAGATAGATAGAAAGAAAGAAAGAAACAGAGATAGATAGATAGATAGATAGATAGATAGATAGATAGATAGATAGATAGATAGAAAAAAAAAAAAAAAGATAGATAGATAGATAGATAGATAGATAGATAGATAGATAGATAGATAGATAGAGAAAGAAAAAAATATGAAACGTTTATCAATCTAACGTGTTTCGCTTTTATTAAAGCTTCGTCAGAGAAGGAGATACAAAGAAAAAGAAGAAAAAATTCTGGTATTTTTACTTTTGTGTTGTTTCATTTTCATTGGTTAATCAGGTTTCACGTGCATTCGACTTCTTAAACAAACGTTAGTATAATTTGTGGCGTTCCGAATTCAAGGAAAGACAACACATCCATTCTTCGAATGGACGTGTCGTCTTCGAATAGATAGATATGAGAAAATTAATTCCTATATGAAAAGGATAGATAGATAGATAGATAGATAGATAGATAGATAGATAATGACGTACTAACGATGATTGTTCGTTATTTTATAAAATTTTAAAATGTAAACTGTTAAAAAAAATAGACACATAAAACATCGTAGAAAATCCTCCACAAAATCAAGTGGAATAGAAAGAAAGAAAGAAAGAAAGAAAGAAAGAAAGAAAGAAAGAAAGAAAGAAAGAGTAAAAACAAAGAGTTGTTAAGAAAGAAAGAAAGAAAGAAAGAAAGAAAGAGTAAAAACAAAGAGTTGTTAAGAAAAAAAGAAAGAAAGAAAGAAAGAAAGAGTAAAAACAAAGAGTTGTTAAGAAAGAAAGAAAGAAAGAAAGAAAGAAAAAAGAAAGAAAGAGTTTTTTCAAAAATAAGAAAGAAAATAAAAGGTATGTTCAGACTGACATACATAGATAGATAGATAGATAGATTAGATAGATAGATAGATAGATAGATATGAAGGAAGTGAGATATATATGACTCTTAGGAAAGGTTATACTTCTTTAAGCATTGTGGACTGGCGCTACAGAATCACAAGCAAAGCACTATACCAAATAACCGAAACCACATTTCTTGAGGACTACTAACAGCAGCAACAACTTAAACGGATAGTACATGTAACTGGAATAGAAAATTGTAACACAATCAAGATGTTAACATTCCACACTACAAATGTATTGATCGATTGCCTGATTCGTTTTCTACGGCTTATCAGTCATTTCCAGGTTATTTAAAGCCAGAAAATATTTTTAAGATTGAAAAATATTAATTTTTTTTTTTTAGATAATATTAGTTTAGTTATACAAGTTTTACGAATTAACCCATAGCTGGGGTAAGAAGATGTGGATTCATACCTTTAGCAGGAGTATTTACGCATAAGTGAAGATAAAGCAGCGAACTAAAATTGGAACTCGAATCCCTGATTAACAATTCTATAACATTATCTATTACACCACCCGCACATCCAAGGTTTCCACTCTTATCAACGTAGAAATTATAGCTTTAAAATCTTCAGACATTTACCTAAAAAGAAAAGAGACAAAATCAGATTTGAAAGTCCTACAACAGAAAATGTTCTTAGAGTAAAATGAAATTTTAACTCAATAACCGACACATATATTATTAAAAGAAATAAAATGACAATTTAAGCACGTCATTGTTTTCGACAGAAAAATAAAATGATCAAAATGCTTATTATAAAATTGACAATCTCAAGTTGAACAATTGAATATTTACTTGATCTTAATTTAAATTGTTTCTTTAGTTTAATACAGTTTATTTTTCTTTGTACAAATGACTACAGTTTGCATTTTTACAATATGGCTGTCACGCGTTAAAAACTGATTTCGATCCAATCACGTTCGAGGCAGAGGAAGAACGGTATCTCACGAGAAAACGTGATTTGATCCAGACACATTTAGAAATGGTTAAAAAAATCCTGTGAAATGAAACGTGACTTCTGCTTAACGAATTTCGTATTCGAAAATGAAAAGAATATCCAGTTATATTAACGTATCCGATTTCATCATGTGTTTTGGGGTGATGATCAACAAACATATCTCGCAGGCCATTTCCTGTAAGTCTGATCATCGTTCGTTAACGGAACCTCGTTCCAGATATAGTTTTAAAAACCTAAAAGTTCCTGCGAAACTGAACAGGTAACATTTTCGATCAACTCTGGGTACGCCATTTATGGATGTCTCGTACTAAAGTTAGAGACATGAGAGGCACTCAAGGTAGAGGTTACTGTTAAAATAGTTATGATGAATGAGATGTGTAGTATGAATGAAAAAGTTATGATAGGAAGTGAGGATTATATGAATAAGAAGGATAAATGTCAAGTGACCGCCCAATTGATGGGGTTAAGATTGTACTTTTCAGGAAGCATCCACGCCGGATTTTTTTCAACAGACCTAAACTGGCTGCAAACCGCCTGTAGAAAGATGTGTAAGGCAAGGATGGGTTTTCTCGCCGGACTCATTAAGCCTAAACAGTAAGGCGATTCTGAGAGAATTAGAAGTTCTGCCAGGATTCATTATTGGCTCGACGTTGCTTAACTTCCATGATCGTGCCGGAATCGGTGTTTCAACGTGATGTGACCTTTAGCCTCATTTCCTAGAGAAGTATTTCAAGGGGACTAAAGAGCGTTTACCCTAGATAGGCTAGGATGCTATATGGGCCCAGTTTCCACTCGTATTCCATATATTCATAGATACATACATCCAGACCCACTTGAAAGGTGCACGATTTCAAGATATCCAGGAAATCCAAGGGAACGCAACGAGGTAGTTGCTCGCTATCCGCCCCCCTCCCAAGGAATGGAAACGACGCTGGGTAAAGTGTGTGGTTCCAGAAGGGAACTACTTCGAAGGAGATTAAATGCTGAATTGATATGTTTTGTAGTTTACATTTACACCAGTCCCGATACTTTTTGATCAAATCTCGTCAGTTTTTGGGGTTTTTTGGGGGGGCGGGGGGGTGATTAACAAACAGTGGCCACGATCTTGAGAAAAGCTATCAGGGTGGGTCTTTCTCATTGAATTTGAAATATAGACGAAATGAGGGTGATTTGCCTCCGTGGCGCATGGTAGCTTTAAAGCCTTGAACCCGTGCAACTAAACAGAGGAGCTCGTCAGCACATTTGCCATGGAAATAGCGATAAAGAGTAGCGATGGCCTTGCGACTTTACGTCAGGGGAAAAAGAGGTTGCAGAGTTGAAAATAACTTTTACCGAGAAAAGACCGCGTGAATTCTATCAACACTGGTAAATGAAAGTTCAAAAGTGTCTACTCAGCTTTGTGGGTGATCAGTTATTGTCCACCCTACAAACCTCTCGCTGCTCAATCACTATTTTCATGGAAGATGTTTTGACGAGGTACATTCGCTAATTCCATCAACTCAATGCCTGTTTCATGAAATAGAACAAGGCTTTTTTATTGCATTTTTCAAAGTTTCGAAAAAAGGTGTTGTGTATTTTGATCGAAATTATAGATAAACTGTCAGAATTTCATGTTTGTGTTGCTGTTTTGTTCAAATATTTTTGACCATCTCGGTCATTTTCAAGAAACATGTAGTGTTAGGCAAAATTTCGTTGTCTATATGCTGGTATTCTTTGGAAAGCTGGAAGTTTTAAATAGTTTATGGTGACGTCATGTGTAACAGTTAATAGCAGAAAAGTGGCGCCAAAATCGTATCGAGATGAATGCCTGCTGGATAAATATACCTCATGTACAGTGCTGTTCGGTAAAAGTGACTCACCTGATTTTTTTTACTAAAAATAATTTTTGTCTATTGTTTGGGATTAAAATAATTTTTAATCTTAGTAATATAAAGACCCCTTCTCAACCACCTAGGAAATAAAGTTTATTCACCCTACGGTATTATATTGATAATTATAATTTTGCATATAAATAAGATTCAGGAAAAAACTCTGTGCAAAAAAAAGTGACTTAGATATCGCATTCTAATGATTAAACTGGTAAATTTAAAGAACTTTTGACAAAATATTGAAAACTATTTTACAATACACTCACAACAATATTCTAGAGAATTTTAGAATAGCTTAAATTAAATCTAGAGTATTCCAGAATATTCCAGAAAGCCTCACACAGTATAAAAACAGTTTGAAATAGCCACTCAAGTCACTAACCAGATGAAAGGGTACAAACACGCATTAGAACCACTTAAGGCATCTATTATTGCTCTCTCAAAAGCAGGCAAGTCTACGAGAGAAATTGCAGAAATTGCTATAACCTCACAATCAACTGTCTCTCGTGTGCTTAGGGCACATAATGATGCCACTCCTGCTCCAAGGAAGGAAACAAGGGGACGAAAGAAAAAGATTGATGATAGAACTGGCAGGGTAATCAAGAGAGAAATTGCGAAGAATAGGACTATAACTAGCCAAGAAATTGCAGCCAGTCTAAGCAAAGAGCAAGGTTAGTCTTGCCTCTTCAACAGTCCGTCAGAACAAGGTTACAAATCTTGTTAGAACAAGGCTACACATTTTGTACACAAAGGTTTAAGCCGCTAATAAGCAAAGCCAACAAAGCCAAGAGACTTGAATGGGCTCACTATTACAAAAAAATTCACCGTAGAAGACTGAAAGAATGTTCTCTTCTCCGATGAAACGAAAGTTGAGCTAAATTCAAAGGATAAGGTGAGACACTTTTATCGAACAGCATTGTATATATTTATATACTAGCAGCATGGCCCGGCGTTGCCCGTGCTTGATTCAAAAATCGTACGACTCATACAGCAATAGCTATCACTTGACTTAAAATATTTTTGCCCTTCCTTGCCTTTAAAAAAGTGCCCTTTGCCGTGCTGATGTTGCTACATATCTTACTTCTTGCCTATCTCACACTGCGAATTTTTTAGAAGCTCTATACTAAACATTAAATCTGTTACGAAAAAAGAACTAAACAAAATTAACACAAAACGATCAGCTTTAAAAAAAGGACTCGTAACTGGAAAAACCGAATGAAAAGAGAATGTTAACAACAAATACTTTTTCACACCCAACCCAGTTCTGCAGAATCAGAATCAACGTTGAGTTTAAGCAAGCGAATGAGCCAACTGGAGTAAAGTGCCATGCAGATTTAATTTTTTCCCACTTGTGACGAATGCAGCTATCGATTTTTTTTGCATGCTAGTTAACATTCGTGTCAGTCAGCTGTTGGCTCTCACGCTGGCCAATAGAATCTTCCTGCCTATTCGTGGCAGCCAGCTATAGGCTCTCACTCTGGCTAATAGAAAATGGCCGCAAACTACATGAAAACTGCCGTAGAAGCATGAAAAAATCGATTATTTCCACTATCGATGGGAGTTGTGAAATGAAATGTCGGTCTTGGCCTTCTCGCTAACTTGGAGCATGTGCATGTAAATTTTGGTTCAAATCCGTCGAAAAAATTGCGGCCGTGTATTCGTTACACACACACACACACACACACATCCTGCCTTATATATATATATATATATATATATATATATATATATATATATATATATATATACACACACACACACACACAGATATATATATATATATATATATATATATATATATATATATGAATGATAGGATAAAGAATAACAAGAGGAAACAGATCTTAATCTAAGATGTTTCACTTTATTAAAGCTTCGTCATAGATCAAGATAGAAATGATAAAAAATGATAAAAAGCAAAGAGACGCAGATTAATAGTATGTTGTTTTAGGCTATTTCTTAAAGGTTAGATATGTGTCACATAACCAATATTGTAAGGATTTTAATACGCCTCAGCGTATTGCAAAAAATTCTGATGATTGAAGATCCTCATTCTTTTCCATATTTACAAGAAAAGAAATTATTATCATAGAACTTAAAGTTACATCTAGCCAATTCTAACTCTATATTGATGAGACCTTACAGCCAGTCTAGTACTGCGCTTAAATTCATAAAGTCGGAGTACACAACAAACAGCTCATTCGAACAATTACCATGAAAATATTTATAGAAAAGGCACGTGGAGGCAACTTTACGGCTGTGGGAAAATGTCTGAAGCCAAGATGCCAGTTCAGGGCCAATAATATTGCTGATTCTTCTTTGCATTTTAGCAAGGATATTCCATGGGTGTTGCATGAGTACCGTAATTTCCCATGTATAATACGCATTTATTTTTCTAAAAAATAATAAGCAAAATCAAGGGTGCGTATTATGCACAATTACAAAAAAAAATCTTTAATAAATCGCCATAAAATAAAATAAGACTTATCATAAAACTAAATTAAAATAATATTATTCTACGATTAAAACCATTTTTAAGATCAGTGTAGGGAACGCTGGTCGTGATGAAATTGGAGAGGTACAACTTATAGGGTTTAATTACCAAACAAGGAGTGCGTATTATGTAGAAGTAGATTCATTTTCCCACACTTTCAGCACAATTTTAGGTGTATGAATTATGGATGAAGGCGCATTATACATGGGGAATTACGGTATAATGTATAACGTTCGATCATCATAATAAATATATAGCAGAAAGATCGGAGCATATGTGACAGCAATATTCTAAGCATGGACGAATGGTAGACTTATAGATATGCAAGATAGATTCTGAAGAGAAAAAGGTTTCGCATGACACAGTGAACCAACCTTCTTAGCAGCTGATCTAACAATGGATGCAATGTAAATTTTCCACTTGATGTCAGCCGAGAACATTAACCCGAGAAGGCGCAACGAGTCACTCACTTGGGGGTTAGCATCAGCTATGATTATGGGAGGCAGAAAGGAGCCTCTCAGATTATTAATCGAGAGCAGTTTTGTTTTAGAGGCGTTAAAATTAACAAGCCATTCTTTGCCCCTGTTAACAACAGATTATAGGTGGTTTTTAAGTTCAACCACTAATTTGACCTTGTCGAACTGATCAGATTTACTATCAAGACAGGAGTAAATGCTTGTGTCATCAGTATAGAGATACCAAGTTGAGAGCTGATATCATCGGGAAGGTCGTTAATGAAAAGTAAGAACAAAGCAGGACCAAGGATATGCCCTGGGTGATACTTGCATTAGTACGAATGGATCTAGAAGAGTGGCCGTTCATGATAACTTACATTTCACGAGTTAAGAAAGACTAAATCAGTTCAAAAATTCGCTCGGGGCCACAATAACTTTTCAACGTTTGGTGAAGACCAGTATGCCAAACCCTCG